GGGTAGACCAAGAATTCTTAAGAAATGCAGAGGCAAGATTGAGGAGATGGCAAGGGGATGGGGACCAGGAGGGTATGACTTGAATTTAAGTCAGACCAGTAAGGTAGATAGATTTCCCTTTTAGGCAATCTATGGTTTTTAACCTGTTTTTTGTTTTGTTTGTTTGTCATAGATTCCTTCAAGAAATCAGTGGCCCATTTTCCCAGAAAAAATAATCTTGACCATTTTACATTTTATAGTTAGTGGTTTATGGGCCTCCTGAAGTCACTCATGTAGACTGCCCATCCCTCATCCCCATTGCCTTAAATCTCCACATTCTGGGTTAAGTGCTACAAGAACCTGTGACTTAGGTGGAACATTTTATTTCCTTGTTTCATGATCTCACTCAGACCAAAGTTGAAGCTTGTAATTATTAAAGGCTGGTTTGGCTGCAGCATTCTTTTTAGTGTAGATACTTTTGCTTCCTGACTTGCTCCTGCAAGTGGATTTGATGATGCACTGTATATGGCTTAACCATGTGGAATTGCTGATATTTAGTTGTTTTTGACTTATTGAAATGGCTGTTTCAGTGGTTTTCTGTATAATTGCTAAATTCTCTCTTTCATGCTGTTCACAGGTTCACAGGTTGAGTAATGTAGGTCACCCTGTAACACCTCTCTCTAGGGCTTTCACTTATTTTTTTAATATAAATTGATTTCAGAGAGGAAGGGAGAGGGAAAGAAACATCAATGAGGAGAATCATTGATCAGCTGCCTCCTGCATGCCCCCTACTGGGGATTGAGCCCACAACTTGGGCATGTGCTCTTGACCAGGAATCGAACCCAGGACCCTTCAGTCCACAGGCCAACGCTCTATCCACTGAACCAAACCAGCTAGGGCAACTTTCACTTATTTCGTTGTTCTGGTATTAGAGGGCAAGAAAGGAAGGTACATTGCCCTTACAAAGCAGCCTTAGGACTGGAGAATGCAGTTGCAGTGGTATCTGAAATACTGAAGGGTCTTTACTTGCAGCAGTTTATTTCCAAAATTTGAGTTGTCTCTTAATTCCCAATCTTGTCATGTGCCATCTGTAAGAACTTGCTTTTGTCTTTACTGCTCCTTGTTGCTATAGATAGAATCTCTAGTATAAGTGTTAAAATTAAGCCACTCTCACATATTACTTATTAAAGGATTCTTTGTAATGAAGAAGTGTGGAGCAAAGCATAGAACTGACATCTTATTTTCCCTGGTAACTCATGCATTGATAAAGACACATGCCTAGCCTTGGCTGGGTGGCTCAGTTGATCATCCCTTGCACCAAAAGGTTGCAGGTTTGATTTCCAATCAGGGCACATACCTAGATTGCGGGTTCAGTCCCGTCAGGGCAAGTATGGAGGCAACCAATTGCTGTTTCTTCTTTCATATTAATATTTCTCTGTCCCTCTCTCTCTTAATAAAAAAAGGCACAACACGTATGTGGTATTCCTACTAATGTATACCTGACTCTGAATGCAAGGCAATTATCATGTGAATCCAAACAAAGGGCCATCTGCAAAACAAATGGCCTGTAACCTTCAAAAATGTCAATGTAAAATAAAAAGGCAAAGGGGCTATTCTTAGATAAAACATAACTAAATCCCATGTGTGCTCTTTGAACCTTATATGAAAAATGTTAGAGGATAGTATTGAGACAATTAGGGAAATAAAAATATGGGTTACGTATTAGGTAATAGTATTATATCAGTGTCAAGTTTCCTGATGTTAATAGGTGTGGGGAGAAGCTTCTGTTTTTATGTGTGCTGAAATATTTTGGTCGAAGTGTCATGTTCAGAAAACAAACAGAAAAAGCACGCACAAGATCATGTGAGCCCTGGCCAGATAGTTCAGTTGATTAGAGCATCGTCTTGATACTCCAAGGTTGTGGGTTCGGTCCCTGGTCAGGGCACATACAAGAATCAAGGAATGCATAAATCAGTGAAATAAATCAGTTTCTCTAAAAACTCAATAAATAAAAAAAATTTAAATAAGTTTAAAAAAAAAGTTGAGGAAAAAGTTCATTTTACCTGTGCAAATCTATAATAATAAAAGCGTAATATGCTAATTAGGTGGGATGTCCTTCCGATGAAGCCGGGGCTTCGTGGGAAGCCCAGGTCCTGGGTGCCAGAGGGAAGCTGGTTCTGGCAGCCAGGGGAAGGCCTGCTCTTGCATGAATTTCGTGCATTGGGCCTCTAGTAGTAACGTAAGTTCCTTCAAGATCACATAGAATAAGTCTGCAACAAAACTGGACTCTTCATCTAGGAAGTATGAAAGGTTGCAAATTTATTCTGCTCACTCCTTTTACCTTACCCCCCACTCCCTTGCTGGCCCAGGAAAACTTAAGGCCTATCAACTTCTCCTTGGCTTTTTCTGATTAAAATTTTTTATCTTTTGCCAATTAAGTTTTAGATTCTGGATTTGGTATAAATTGCCTCTAGTATTCTTGACAGATAAGACATAAACTTAAAAAACAAAGGGACCTTAATCCACCCCGTTTTGGACAATGGGAGAGATCCACTAATTTGACAAAAGATTTGACTGCTTTTGTGTCAGCATTGTTCTAGGTGTTGGAAAATAGCAGTGAGCAAAAGTTTCTGACCTGTGGAGCTTGTGTGGTAACTGTCAGTCCTGGGATTTAACAAAATAGACTTGGGTAGCTTGTAAAGCAAAAATGTTTCTGGCAGTTTTGGAGGCTGGGAGTCTGACATCAGGGTGCCAGCATGGTCAGGTAAGGATCCTCTTCTAGGTCACATTCTGATTGTATCCTCACAAGTGGAAGGGGACAAGGGATCTCTGGAGCCCTTTTTATATAAAGGCACTACTCCCATTCCACCCTCAAGGCCTATCACTCCCCAAAGGCTCCATCTCCTAACACCATTGCCTTGAGGTTAAGATTTCAACACATGGATATGGGAGGTCGGAGGAATAACACAGATACTCAGATATCATAGTGGGGGGGGAGGGAAAACATTGGGTGGTAATAACTGCTAAGGAGAATAGGATAGAGCTGTGGTTGCCAAACTGCGGCTCGCGAGCCACATGCGGCTTTGGCCCCTTGAATGTGGCTCTTCCTAAGCTTTAGGAGTACCCTAATTAAGTTAATAATGTACCTACCTATATAGTTTAAGTTTAAAAAATTTGGCTCTCAATCATTGTACTGTTGATATTTGGCTCTCTTGATTAATGAGTTTGCTGACCACTGGGATAGAAGATGGGAAATGATAAGGACTTGAGAGGGAACTATTTTTTTTTAAATATATTTTTATTGATTTCAGAGTAAGGGAGAGACAGAGACAGAAATATTGACAGGAATCATTGATTAGCTGCCTCCTGCATGCCCTATGGTCAAGCCCACAACGTGGGCATGTGTCCCGACTGGGAATTGAACTGTGACCTCCTAGTTAATAAGTTGACGCTCAACCACTGTGCCAAGCCAGCTGGGCTGGGAGCTGCTATTTTATGAAATTTCAAAACCTTAGGAATAAAGTGAGTCAAGTGGAAAGCTAGAATTCCTGCAAGGGAGGACAAAAACCACAAAGTAAAATAGGAAGGTAGGGCGAAAGTAATGAAGGGCCTCATCACTGCTGTGGGGAAATAGCAAGGTGTGTAATTTTTTTAAATAGAAATTTGGATTGTTTCCCAAATATCCAACTTTTTTTAAATTTTAGATTATTTTATTTTTCTATATTTTATTGATTTTTTACTGAGAGGAAGGGAGAGGGGATAGAGTTAGGAACATCGATGAGAGAGAAACATCGATAAGCTGCCTCTTGCACACCTCCTACTGGGGATGTGCCCTCAACCAAGGTACATGCCCTTAGCCGGAATCGAACCTGGGACCTTTCAGTCCGCAGGCCGAGGCTCTATCCACTGAGCCAAACCGGTTAGGGCAAGGTGTGTAATTTTAAGGGGGGAAGACTACTTGTAATAATCCAAGTAGTAACTAATACTAAGTGGTAGAGTGGAGATGGTGATTCTGGATGCGCTTTGAAGTTTGCTAAGATTTGTTCATTCCAGGTTTGGGCAACCATAAAGCAGCACATTTACTGGAAAGACCACTTAGGAAAATCAGAAGTTCCTTTTGGGACCTATCAAGCACTTGTCACAAAAGGGAGACTATTTGAAGAATAAAAATCTTTTGGCCTTTCAAGACTGTTTGCACTAGTATCAGTTTTATTGGTCTGTATTGGGAATATTGCCATGTTCACTACACATGGGGAAGCTTGAGACAGTTGTGGGTATCTATCCAGGCAGCTCTTCTCCCTCCTTCCTAATATAACCCATATTGTTTCAGGGGATGTTTGGCTGCTCTCCGATACCAAGGATGGATCTTGAATCATATAAGATAGTTCTCAATTGGGTTGCTTTTGAAATCCTTGAAAGGCTTAGTTAACAATGATTAGGAGGTTCTAGAGGTGTTTAGTGGCCAAGGGCCAACCACAGGTGCTAAACATCTATCTATATACATAAAACCCTAATATGCAAATAGACTGAATGGCTAAACAACTGGTCACTATGATGTGCACTGACCACCAGGGGCACATGCAGAACATGGTGGGAGCCACAGTGGGATGGGCTGGGTGGGGGTATGGAGGATGGGCAGAGACCTACCCCTGTGCCCACTGCAGCCTTGTGGCCCAAAGTTCCTTTTAAGGTGCACGGATTCATGCACTGGGCCCCTAGTCCAGTGATGGCGAACCTTTTGAGCTTGGTGTGTCAGCATTTTGAAAAACCCTAACTTAACTCTGGTGCCGTGTCACATATAGAAAATTTTTTTGATATTTGCAACCATAGTAAAACAAAGACTTATATTTTTGATATTTATTTTATATATTTAAATGCCATTTAACAAAGAAAAATCAACCAAAAAAATGAGTTTGCGTGTCACCTCTGACATGCATGTCATAGGTTTGCCATCACTGCCCTAGTCTAACAATAACATGCCACAAAACAATCCTTCATAAATTATTGCACAGGGCCACTAGTTTCCCACCAAGTGTCCATCTGGCTGAGAACTTGAACCTAGAATTTATTTTTTACGAGAATCTCAAGAAAGTATTTACATGGCTGTCAATGACCAATTTTCCAGGAATGTAATTATCATGTAAACAATGTCCTTCACGTTACAGTACTGTATTAATTTTTAAAAAATGATTTGAGAGAGGAAGAGAGAAACATCAATTTGTTGTTCCACTTATTCATGCATTCATTGGATACTTCTTGTATAGACCCCAACTGTAATTTGAACCCACAACCTTGGCCTACTGGAAAGACACTTTAACCAACTGAGCCTACCCAGCCAGAGCCTCATTGTATTGAGTTTTAAATATTTATGAGTTACATTTCTAAATACCACCACAAAATAAAAGGCATGACCTCTGATGGGATCTAAGCCCTATGTTCTTAAGAATCCTACAGGCATGACATACAATAAATCTCTTGGGAGACTTTTGGGGAAAAATTCTTAACACTTAGATATAAGAAAGATGCAGTCACCTTTCTGCTTCTGAAGTTGTCAGCACGTGGTAATTAGAACTACATCATAATTTAAGATAAGACTAGCCATGTGCTGAGGGTGAAAGCAAATATGGTAATTACCAGTACCTAACATTGAGCCATTAAACTTGTAACTTAGGGTTTACTACTAGATTTATATACAGCTACTTAGAACTGAAAGCAACCTGAAAATAGTAGCCTGTTTTCATGCTAGATAGAGATCTAGACTTTTAACATTCCAAATGAAAGATGGAGCTAAAAGAAATCAACAAAAAAACCTCAAACCCAGAGTTGTACTTAGCCTCACCCCTCACAAACAAGAGATCAAGATGCTTTTCATATTTATTTTTTAAAAAAATCCAGAATGGATCAAAAAGAATAATCCAGGGTACATGTGCCAAAGGCCAGAAGGTAGCTATAAAAGTGTGCCATAGGAAAATTAGGGAGCCTTATTACCTTGTTTAAAAAGCTGTACCTAACATAAATAGCTTAGCTTCCCCTGCTCTACCTCTGAATGTGGGACAACAGGCTTGTCTTGCAAGGCCTCAGTTGAAGGATCCCATGTATACACACAGGCTGGTATGGCAGTACTTGTCTTATATCCCTAGTTGGTTTTATTCCAGGTCTGACTACCTTCGTTGTTGTGTGTGGGATGGTTTCACCCCTTGGAAATACAGGTATTTCAGCACAAAACAATGTTAAGTCTTTACAATCAATAAATCATCACCTTCCCTTTTCGTGCAGCTAAAAAATGATAGGCTAGGGACAGACAGAACATTGTGAGCTTTGTTACTGTTGGAATTACCACTCATTAAATGATCATTAGCTAAGTCACTAAATTTACATATTAAGGGAATTATATATAGAATACTGCAAAAACACAGTAAAAGACTGAAGTCTGCCCATTTCTGCTCAGGAAGTCCCTTCACTCCCAAGCATCATATGTTGTCCTTTTGGCTCCAAAGTTTACTGTTATTACTGTTTCTCTTCTTTTTGATCTTCCTTTTGTTCCCCAGCACTAGAACTTCCAGAGCCTTCTCGCTCAGAGGCCATCTGTTAAGAAAACATTTGACAGTCACTCATTTAATGTTAAGGCTGACAGCTTGCTTTCTGGAGCCATATCCCACCTATTTCACCCCCATCCTCCCACTACACTATTGGTGGTTTCTGTGACTCCTTCCCTTTGACCTCCCTCACAAAGTAGAGTCAAGAAGGAAGGATATTTTCAACATGCCCAGTTCTATAAAATGGCGATGTAGGGAGCCATCAGTGAGTCCTCAAGAGCAGTTACATCAAGATCAGATGAGAAGGAAAATAAGTCATTGAGCAAAACACCCTTCAGTCCTTGTACCTTTTTGTATGCCATTTCGAAGAGCTTCAATGATGCTTGCTGAAGGGAAGATGCTGCCTGCCTTATGTTTTCTCCAGTTTCACTATCTTTTCGAGCCAGGAGCTCTCTCATTTTGGAAATCTCCTCTTTTAGTTTGTTGCACTTAAAAACAAAATAAAACAAAGCCCTCACTTTTTGGGGTTTTCTTATCCTATTACATGAAACAGTAATATTCAGAAACATTTTTTAAAAACTAAATTCCAATCAGGACCCACACAAACTTCATTGACATTGGTGACAATGCCTCCCAACTTCTTGAACTATTGTATTATAAAAGAGGGCTCACCTCATCAGCAGGCAATTGGTCCTTGTATTCCTCCATCTTGCTTTCTGTATCATGGATGATTCCTTCAGCCATATTAACTGCTTCAACTCGTTCCTAAGAGACATTAGAAATTGAAGACTTCCCAAATGGTTGGCTGAAAGTCCTCACTGAGAAAGACAACATGCTGACTGCTACATATAGTTAGAGTAAAAACAGTAAGGGGGAGAAATCACTGTGGTTGGTGTGAGCTAGTCTGATGTCTGTGAAAGATTTTAGCTGAATTCCTATAACAAAAATCAATATAGGAAGACTTGGAATAAATAAAGGCATTCCACATAAGTTACAACAAAGGGGTAAAGGGAATAGATTGAGGGTAACAGAAGATAGAAGATCAAAGATAAATGTCTAAACTCCTACTTTCATCTCCAAGCTGAAAAGACAGAAAGTACCAATCACCTTCTTTCGCCTGTCTTCCTCAGCATACTTCTCTGCGTTCTTAACCATATTTTCAATATCATCTTTGCTTAACCCACCAGAAGACTGGATCACAACTACAGTGAAAAGAAAGCATTTTGTTACTTCCCTGGTAAAATTATTTATCTCACCCTCTATTTGTATTGAGAAGAACAATACGCCTGCTCAGAATAGCCTATCTTGATGTAAATTACGAAGAGGAATACCCTACTGTCCTATAATAGACAGAAGGAAACAAAGGTCTGATATACACAAAGACCAACTATCCTGCCAATCCCCCAAGACTTTAATAAGCTCAGCAATCCAGAGGCTCAGTGCTTGCCTATTTGGGGGAATAAACACATCTGTTAATGTGAATCTGATAATTGAGAAAAGGGGCAAAGAGGACTCATTTTCCCGAGGCTAGAAAAAGATATGCACAACCTAGAGCAGTGATGGCGAACCTTTTGAGCTCGGCGAGTCAGCATTTGAAAAACCCTAACTTAACTCTGGTGCCATGTCACATATAGAAATTTTTTGATATTTGCAACCATAGTAAAACAAAGACTTATATTTTTGATATTTATTTTATATATTTAAATGCCATTTAACAAAGAAAAATCAACCAAAAAAAATGAGTTCGCATTGTCACCTCTGACACGCGTGTCATGGGTTCGCCATCACTGACCTAGAGGGTCAAGTTCTCAACAGAAAGAAACTCCAAGGCCTCTTACCTCATCCTAACAGTCTGATAAATAAGAACACTTACTCTGCTGCTCGCGTCCTGTACCCTTATCTTTGGCAGAAACATGTACAATCCCATTGGCATCAATGTCAAATGTAACTTCAATCTGAGGGACTCCACGTGGGGCTGGGGGGATTCCAATCTAAAGTAAGTAAGTAAGTAAATACACAGATTAAGCTCTTCTCACAAAGAGGTACAGTTCTCTAGTTTCAAACCTATACGTTTTTCTGGGGAACAAGTCACTTGGTTCCAGGGAGGAACCAGCTATAGTTTCACTTAAATGTACAAAAACAGGTTTATAAGTAAAGGTAGTACTTCATTGCTACCTGAAATAAACAGGGCTTATACCAATAAAGGCTGATTATAGCAAGTAATCATAATTATTATGTACTTGGGGACACAATGAATAATAGCAAATCTCATTACTGTTCATCTCACCAAGAACCAGTAAGCAATACTAATTAGAAGTCAGTAATATCAAATGTCTCTTAAATTAGTAACCAAAAATTTCTCCTAATTAACACTGTCTATGAACACTTCCCTGTCTTATATCTTCTATCTATATATATAAAAGCCTGAACAACCAAACGCTATGACGTGCACTGACCAACACAGGGCAGATGTTCAACGCAGGAGCTGCCCCCTGGTGGTCAGTGTGCTCCCACAGCGGGAGCACCACTCAGCTGACTGACAGGTGCCAGACACTGGGCCCATGGCTGGCAAGCGCAGCTGTGGTGGTGCAGCCTAGCCTGCAGGGATCTGGCTGAAACCTGCAGTCCAACATCCCCCAAGGGGTCCCAGATTGTGAGAGGGCGCAGGCCAGGCTGAGGGACCCCACCAGTGCACAAATCTGTGCACCAGGCCTCTAGTCTATATAATAAAAGCCTAAGCAACCGTTATGGCGGAACAACTAGTTGATTCAACGCAGGAGCTGCCCCCTGGTGGTCAGTGTGCTCCCACAGGGGAAGGGGCCTCTCAGCCAGAAGCCGGGCTCATGGCTGGCGAGTGCAGCAGTGGGAGCGCTAAGGAGCAGCGAGCCAAGCGTTAAGGAGCAAGGGGTCTGGGACTGCAAGAGGGCACAGGCCAGACTGAAGGGAGGGATCACCCCCCCCCCCGCCCCCCCTGAATTTCATGCACTGGGCCTCTAGTATATTTATAATATTCTTAAAGTTCCTAAGGCACAAGCAAGGCTTTCAGGTAAAAATTGAAGCCAAGGGCTCTTCAGTTGCAGAATTTGTATGTACACTATGTTAAGATAACAGACTACCTGTGTTTCAGCAATTTATAGTAATATTAATAGGGGTTGAAATATAGTCTAACTGTACAATAAAAAAGAAAGGAGCATATTTAGGATTCCCAATACCTACCAAAGTAAACTGTCCAAGAAGTTTGTTGTCTCCAGCCATCTCTCTCTCACCCTGGCACACTTTAATCTCCACCTGAGTCTGACCATCAGCAGCTGTAGAAAACACCTAGGGAAAAAGAAACTTTCTGGGTTGTCTATCTAATTAAACTACTCCCCTTACACAGAGGACAAGCCAAAGAAAGAAACTCACACTGTAATACTGGAAGAGTCCTAATGTACACAATTTTCAGAACAAAGGCTTATGTCTTTTGCTGGGAATAGGAGTAGGATTAGCACAGCAAAAGGGCACCAAATAGCTATTGTTTCTCTAAGCAAATGCACTGTAAAAAGATGCAGCATTGGCACAGAAGGCCTCAAGAGAAGGTGCCAAAAAAACGAGATGTTGAAACATGCTCATCTGAGGAAACAGGTCAGAGATAGGACATGCATTTTGTGCTCAGTCACAGGACGTCACCACATACTTTTCTTCAGAATGATGTGTTGACAATACATCACAGCACAAATACAGCAATAGCCAGTTTTTCATAAAAACATCAAAATTAGAAAAGTCAAGACATCATTCTTAATCCAAAGACCCAAAGACCCAAGTCATTGTCCAAATAGCCCTGCCTGGCATCGCAGGACACCCATCATTCACCCATAATAGAAGCTCATTGCACTGTCTTGGTCAGGCCATTCTTTTTATTGCCTTTGAGAACAGAAGAATATAGAGAATTTAGTCCCAAATGATGAGGTTTCTTTTGGTAAGTTAAAGAGTGAAGTTTTCTAGGAAAAGCTCACAAAACCTAGTAATCTCTGTGACAAGGTAGAAAGGGGAGGCTCTTACCTGACTTTTCTTGGTTGGAATAGTGGTGTTCCTGTTAATAAGTTTGGTAAATACACCTCCCAGAGTCTCAATACCCAAAGAAAGGGGAGTGACATCCAGGAGCAGCACATCTGTGACATCACCAGCCAACACACCTCCCTGAATGGCAGCTCCCATGGCCACAGCCTCGTCAGGATTGACAGCTTTACTTGGGGCTCGGCCAAAGAGATCCTGCACAGTCTGCTGAACCTGAGCACCAAGAGAAAAGAACCTGTCACCCACTACTCAAAGCAACTAATTGCCCAAGATGGAGAGAGAACACACCTGTCCCAAGATCATAGCAAATCACAGGACAATTTGCTTCAGATCCAAGAATTTCACTCAAATTACTAGTATTTCATAGTTGAATTCTTGTTAATGATCCGAGTATATCATGTAGGTAACACTCATATACTTTACTCACATATGTCATTCATAGCCCTTTAAATTTGGGAAGAATTAGTGTTAAGATTGTTATCTGGTTTCCCATACAATACATTGCATTAGAAATGGTGTAGCCCTGGTCGGTGTGGCTCCGTTGGTTGAGCAGTGTCTGTTACACAGAAAGGTTATGGGTTTGATTCCCGGTAGGAGGCATGCAGGAGGTAGCTGATCTACATATCAACTAAAAACCAACTAAAAGGAAGCAGTGCAGAGATCATACCATGACAACAGTGGTGCTAACATGAGACATGCTCTTCCCTCCTTTTTTACATAATGCTAGGGGAAAGTGCTATTTAAATAGCATCTAGGATATTTGCTAACAGAATATCATCCAGGTCCAAAGCCTCTTGTTTTCTCTCCAGATTTATTCTGTGCATGTTTTCCTAAGCCCACATACTTGAAAATTTAATATCAAGGCCCAAGATAATTCCATGAAAGTCATAAAGAATTGCATCTTCAACAGTTTCCGTGCTCAGTCATTAACTTTCTACACACCTGTCTTTTCAGAATGATGTGTTGATGAATAGAATGCATCATTGCACAAATCTCTGTTGAAGAGTTACAATTAAAAGCCTTAAACACTATGCTGTAAAGACACATGTCCAAAATTACTCCACAGAGGCCAGTTAGTGTCAAGGTTTTATACTTTTTAACTGAATTTTTAGAGAGGAAAGGAGAGAAACATCAACCTGGGCATATGCTCTACCTGAGAATCAAACCAGCAAACTTTCATGCACAGGATGATGCCCAACCAACTGAACCACACTGGCCAGGGCAGTATCAAGGTTTTAAGCTATCTCTGACCTCATGTTCATTCCTAAAAATTCTTCAAGACTGAAGTTCAGAATCCTCCCAGTCACCACCCCAAGGACATTTTTCCCTTCCTAATCCTTTTTCTTATATCCTTGAATTTAAAAAAGAGGTTGAAAAGAACTCTTCAGTTAAAGCACAAATTCCTCCTTTCTGGATTACCATGGAAGAAAGGCCACATATTCATATCCCTACACATAAGCCATTTGACTCCCCCCAAAACATGCAGGTCCTTTCTGCTTGCCATGTTGAGAATTCCATGGATCCATCCATACCTTGGGCATTCTAGTCATGCCACCAACAAGAATCACTTCTCCTATGTCACTCTTGCTGACTTCTGCATCTTGCATGGCTTTCTGGCATGGGGCGATGGTCCTCCTGATTAGCTCAGCGACAATCCCCTCAAACTGAGCCCGGGTCAGCTTCATATTCAAATGCTTAGGTCCAGATGCATCCATTGTAAGATATGGCAAGTTGATGTCAGTCTGCAAAGGAAGCAGGGAGATCAGTAGTGGTGAAGTTTCTTTCTTTTTAAAAAAAATATATTTTATTGATTTTTTACAGAGAGGAAGGGAGAGGGATAGAGAGTTAGAAACATCGATCAGCTGCCTCCTGCACACTCCCCACTGGGGATGTGCCCGCAACCAAGGTACATGCCCTTGACCGGAATCGAACCTGGGACCCTTGAGTCCACAGGCTGACGCTCTATCCACTGAGTCAAACCAGTTAGGGCAAGTTTCTTTATTCAATAAATACTATAGGACAGTAAGACTTTGAATGCCACAGTGGTCACACCTACTTTAAAGGAAAAGCTACCAAACACAGTGACTCTTATAAGAGTCCAACCCTTATCTCTCCAAAGGTAAAAACACTTCAGAATTTTATTATTAAACAATGAAGATCAGAGGAGAGAAGCAGGAAAAAGCCCTGTTCAGGAGACAAGAAATATTCTACCACTAAATATATAGGGTGGGGCAAAATGACATTTATAGTTGTGAGTACACGAAACAGTTCATTCCTATATTAATTACTATATTTTCTATACAAACAACTGTAAACGTACCTTTGCCCCACCTTGTACATTAAGAACCATACTACAGCTTGGCCAGTGTAGCTCAGTAGCTGAGCATAGACCTACGAACCAGGAGGTCACAGTTCAATTCCCAGACAGGTACATGCCTGGGTTACATGCTCAATCCCTAACGTGGGGCATGCAGGATGCAGCCAATCAATGATTCTCATTGATGTTTCTCTTTCTCCCTCTCCCTTCCTCTCTGAAATCAATAAAAAATATTTTTTTAAAGGAAAAAGAATTACACTACTGTTTTTTCCACCAAGTTTTAAAAAACTCCACGTACGGTAGTTATAAACAACAACAACAGATCCAAGATATGCTCCGAACCAAATAACCTGCCACCAGCCAGGGCTTTGTTTCAGGAAGACGATTAGAAAGCTATGAACAACAGAGATGCTCTTTAACTGCAAGGACTGACTTTACTGCCATCATATCCACAGAGAACTGCTAACATGGCCACAATCAGACCATGTAGTATCTAATATTTAATAAAACCCCAAATCCTAATAAGGCATGGATTAAAAATATTTAGACCTGCTCAACGTGGCTCACTGGTTGAGCATTGACCTATGGACCAGGAGGTCACAGTTCAATTCCTGGTCAGGGCACATGCCCGGGTTTCCGGCTCCACAGCCAGTAGGAGACACGCAGGAGGCAACCAATCCATGATTCTCTCTCTTGATGTTTCTATCTCTTTCCCTCTCCCTTCCTCTGAAATCAATAAAATATATGTATTTTTTAAAAAAAAGAATATTTAGACCAAAAAAATCTCATCACTGAACATGCTGAAACAGATGACCTAGGGGTGGACCCCCGGGAACAGAATTACCTTACGCCTCTCCGCTAACTTCACATCAAAGCAAGGCCTGCAGGGATTAAAGACTCGGGAGTAAATCCTTAAACTTTTCCTTGGGTAAAGTACTGGGACTATTAAATGCTTAATATGAGAGTTAACACATCTTCTGTAGAAACAGTGTTACTGGGTTTTGCCTTAAAGAATACCATTGACAATTTCCTTCTTTCTTTGCAAAATGTCAATAATCCAAATTAGAAGATAGAATTTCATCATCCAAACCAGTATGATTCAATAGAACTTTTTGTGACACCAGCAATGTTCTATAATCTGCGTTGTTCAATTCAGCAGCCACTAGCCACTTATGGCTGAGCTCCTGAAACACAGCTAGCACAACTGAGGAACATAATTTAAAATTTGTATTTAACTTTAAATATCCATAAATGGCTACTGTTTTAGTGTAGTTCTATATGCTGTAAGTTAATGACAACCTGAAAAACTCCAGGACTCTCAACTCTATAAAATCAGTTCATCACAGTTTTGTCCTTCATTTTCCTCAAATCGAAGTATCTTTCACTATCAGTCCTCTCTTACCAACTGATGTGCTACCATAACCTCCCAGGGATTTCCCACATCCACTCAGGTTGCCTTCTGCCACAGAACCCTTCCCCACTGAAAATAAAACTGTGCTCTATCGGCCAAAGTGCTTTTCATAAACCCAAATCTGACCATGTTATTGGCCCCCACACAAAGTTTTTACTGGTTTATACTCAGAACAGATACCAAAACAAATCTATAAAGCTAGGGCTCTAGCCTCCTGTCCATGCCCGTCTGCACTTCGGCCACACTGACCCCTTCTCAGCACTGCATACTTGATTAATTCAGCATTTCCTAATTAACTCATCTTTCAGACGTCTCCTTGCTATGTCCAACATCTCTGTCAACTGTCAGGTTCCTCTAATATAAATCTAACTTTGCCTTTCTCGTACATTAATAACTTACATTCAGAGTACTTATTACTACACGTTCTAAGCACGTTACATGTATGTATGAATTTAGTAACCCTTGAAATTCTAAGAGGAAAAGTAGTACTATTATCTGCATTTTATAGAATGGAAATGTTAAGTCATTCACCCAAGGTCACACTGCTAAGTGATGAAATAGGACCTGAACCCCAACAGTCTACTTGTAGAGCCACTCTTAACCTTTCTTTACATGACTTCTGGCTTGACATTTTAAATATCTTTGACATTTTATATAATGTTCTAAATAACGTCCACCTCCCACAACACACTAAACTACACGAACAAGGGTAGTGTTTCTCAGAATTTATCCTAAAGGTTTATAATCACACATGCACAAACATTAATGTACAAGGATGCTCAATATACCTTGCTATAATGACAAAATGCTGAGGGAAAAAAAAATTCTAATGCCTATCAATAGGATACAGCAGGTCTTTGAATAACATTTTGTTATAACATCGATGAGATGTCATAGGAATTTATCAAATAGCCTATGAAAAACTGGTTTCCTTATACAACATTTTGCTTAAAACTCACAGACCTATTGATGATATCAAGTGAGGACTTACTGTACAGCCACATAAAAACCAGCCAACCTTCCCCTCCAAAAAGTGTCAGACCCCTGGGAGGAATTATAAGCTATTCTCTGGCAGACTGCAATATTTCAACCCTAACCCATCATGCTGCAAAGTTCTGCCACTCTGTATGATAGCAGGAAACAAAGCAACATCATCATCATCATGGGTGACTTTGTACAACTTTATCATTCCTCATAGCTACTTAAAAAAAAAAAAAATTCCAGGTTTGACTCAAGTTTAACACCTCTTCTCCTCCCATTGGTAATCAAACTACTAGAGTAGTCACAGGCTCTGTTTCTCTGCCACCTAAGAACCTGAAATTAAATCTCTTGCCTTCCACCTTGTTTCGTCTCTGATCCGGATCTACCATACTTTCTACATTTCTCTTCTTGGTTATTAAAGCAAAGTGAAGCTTCATCTCTCTGCAATGAAGCAGGATAGGCTGACACCTTAAAACCGACGCTGAGCAAATCTGATGCCCAGAGGGAAAAACTTGCTCAGGTGCATAAAGCCCAGCCTTCATAGCTCACTTTCTAGATCGGTGATTCAAATTAAAGGAGAAACTATTAGAGACACACACAAAGAGGTACCTTGATTAAGTGAAGACAGCAGTGCTGAGAGTCTCCTGGTATTTACAGGGTAGCAATTATAGCTTTGCACACTGCTAGCCTAGATTTTAGCTCCAGTACACATAACCTCTGATTTGGATGGTTAACAAATTAAGGTCATCCATTAAAACACACAACACCTACTCCTTTGCTCACGGAAAGGTTTTTACCACCAATCAGCAAACAGTAAGACAATTAAAATATGCTATTCAAGTAAGCTCAGGCTGAAAAGATCCATCAAGACTGCTGGGATTTGTCCATGTCTCACCTGCACAGATGAGGAGAGTTCACACTTAGCCTTCTCAGCAGCTTCCCGAACTCTTTGAAGTGCCATGTTGTCTTTGGTCAAATCAACTCCCGTCTACAAAGTGAAGACATTAATGCTAGTATTAATGAGGTGATAAATACTCTTAAATTGCAGTGATACGCTGTTAACAATTCAAAATAGAGCCATAACTTTATAAACAAGCATAAGTTACTTCTTCCCTTTAAAATTCTGTAGGGAAAAGAAAACCTATTCTAAAAGGGCTATCTATGCCTGGAGCCAGAGGGCAGAACTGATCTCAGTTCTTTCAACCGTAGGAGTCTAGCTCAAAAAAAGGAGTTCCCAGAATTCTTTTTTCAATATTGTACAAAGAGTGCCATATCCTTTAAACGGAAGCACAAACATTTCAGTGTTCTACTCAGGGCAAAAAAATTTAGTGCTCTATTCAGGGCAGCTACCTGAATAAGGAAATTTTCACTATCCCGATGTCTACAGATTAACCACACCAGTAACTAACCTCTCTTTTAAACTCCTTCACAATGTGTTGTAGCAAGGCCTGGTCAAAGTCTTCACCACCTAAGAAAGTGTCTCCATTGGTGGACTTCACCTCAAATACTCCTTTCTGAATTTCCAGGACAGAAATATCAAAAGTTCCACCACCTAAATCATATACAGCAATGCTAGAAAGAAAAAAAAGGAAGGCCTTAAGGAACAAAAGTAATGCTACAACATGAACAAACCTTGAAAACATATCTGACCAGCACATGGTGGAACCTATGCCAGCATACATTTCAATAACCAAATAAACTTGCCTATTTTCCCCAAAATATAATTATTATGAAATTTGATAATTGTGTGACATTTGTATTAACATATGGCCCTAACATGTGAAGTATACATACAGTTGAAATGAATAAATTCACTTAAAAGCAAAACCACTCTTTTGGAGGGGAGGGAACGACCCTATTAGACCAGTACTTAGGGAAAAATAGTAAATAAATAAAAAGTCTTGAAATGAATGAAAAACAGATTATACAGCCTTGCAGAACATCAAGGCAGTATATTTTTAGTCTAAATACAAGAATCAATCACTAAAAAATCAAAATGATGACTTGGGATAAGTCTTGGTGGAGTTTATTATATAGACTTACACTTTATCTTCTGATTTGTCTAGACCATAGGCCAGAGCAGCAGCTGTGGGTTCATTAATCACCCGAAGCACATTCAGTCCAGCTATCTGACCAGCATCCTTAGTGGCCTAAAAAAGAAAAAAGCATTTTCCACCTTTGTGTCCGCAATACCACTAATTTCCTAAATAAAAATGCTAATTGACTCACCTGTCTTTGTGAGTCATTGAAATAAGCTGGGACTGTGATCACAGCATTTTTTGCTGTATGCCCCAGGTAATTTTCTGAAAAAGAATCAAGGAATGAATCCAATCATGCGATTGTCAGTTGAAATAGGTAACAGAATTACTAATGTAACCTAACAACCTATATCATCCTTTTGGAGCCACAAATAGCACACACCAGTTTTTCAGCATGCTAAGACCTAACATGTAGAGACCTTGTAGGAAAATACTCCAACTGAAGATAATAATTAAAAACCAAGACCTCACCTCTAACACTTCAGTGAAAGTTCAACAACTAGAATGACTTAAAATGACTACTAGTTTCATCAATGGGAAGTTTTAAACTTTTACCTAACAGACAAAAGCTTATGTGTCATCTTTTGGCTTTCAAAATACTACTCCCCTACTGGAAAAAAGGAACAAGAAAGCCACCATTAGGAAAATTTGGAAGATGTATTCAATCTGCAGAGAATAGTAAGAAGAGTTTTGCCATCCCTAGGTTTTCTGTATAAAAGCCACCAGACTCATCCAAGGGACACTGGGGTATAAAAGCTAGTGATCTCAGATAAATCACCCAGTTCTTGATACTTTCCCAGACGTAAACTAAACATCTCACCTGCAGTCTCTTTCATCTTCATCAACACAAATGCTCCAATCTGACTTGGAGAATAGAGTTTTCCATGAGCTTCAACCCAGGCATCACCATTGGAGGCGCGGACAATTTTAAAGGGAACATTTTTACTGCAAGACACAAAAATTGTATTTGAAAAAACAGGGCAGGGCAATCTACCATTAATATCCACCCCCCCATCCCCAGAAATCCATGGTCAATGAGAACTTCAGAAATGAATTTAATGAAAGCCTTTAGAAAGTAAACATTAACATGTCAAAACACCCTGATGAAACCCAAACATTCTCTACTTCCCACCCAACAAAAAACTTAAGCAGCTACTTTGGAAAATGATTATAGTTATCACTTATAGGACCCAGAAATTCCATTACTAAGTATCTAGCCAGGAGATATGAAAACGTGTGTTCACACAAAAACCTGTGGCAGATTATTCATAATAGCTAAAAAGTGGCCTGGCTGGTGTGGCTCATGGTTGAGCATCGACCCATGAACCAAGAGGTCACCGGTTGGATCCCCAGTCAGGGCACATGCCCAGGTTGCAAGATCAATCCCCAGTTGTACAAGAGGCAGCTGATCAATGTTTCTATCTCTCTATCCCTCTCTTTAAAGTCAAGAAAAAAAAAGGGGGGAAAGCAAACAATGTCATTAACATAAATGGCTAAACAAAATGTAGATATCCAGACAATGGAATATTATTTGGCCATATAAAGTAATGAAGTATTGATAACATGCCACAACACAAACTTGGAAAACTATCTCATCAGCACATGCCACTATCTGCCTTACGAATTTAACACCAATTTACATGGCCTAGGAATGACTAGCCAAATCTTCATATACCACATCTATACACAGCAAAGACCTAATCTGTGGAGGCAAAAATAAATTTTTTGAAGGAGATATCCTTTTGGCAGGAGAGGCCTTGCCCCCAGGGACACATAAAATTACTAATGTGCTCAAGGGAACTTGCTAAAAGGTTCTTTTGTGTGGCCTTCGAAAATAACTATGCTTTTGTAATTACTCACATGTCTTTCTGGACTTCAGGGTCGTCATATCGCCGGCCAATAAGACGCTTGGTAGCATAGAATGTGTTGTTTGGGTTGGTGACAGCCTGTCGCTTGGCAGGCATGCCAACAAGTCGCTCACCATCTGTTGTAAAAGCTACAACTGAAGGGGTGGTTCTGGCACCTTCAGCATTCTCCAGCACCTAAAACACCCAAAGAAAGACAGAGAATGAGGTTCCAGTGACCACCACTGTCTTTGTATTAATCATTTAAGACAAAACAGATGTCAACTCACAACGTAAATGCTCAAGAATAGTGGATGTTCAAAATATCTTTATTTTGAAACAACAGAAAGAAAACCAGAATAAATATAAATCAGAGCTTTCATAGTCAATGTAAGGACAAGGTAATCTTTCCTTCTAGAAGAATTAAATTCATTTCTCAATTTTTTTGGTAATGGCTAAAAAGTTTCAGGCATATAAAAATTGCCAAGAAACAATTCAAGAATCTCAGGTGCTCTAAATATCAAGAATCTAGTGGGAATAAAAGTGTCATAAAAAGAGTAAGGAAACTTCTGGAAGAATAGCTACCATAATAGGAATCTCCTAAGATGCTTTACTTAGGTTGCAGCCCATGTGTTATGTGGAGCTCCACTTGGGATTGATAACAGAAGTAATCTGTAATCTATCTGTAAGCCATCCCAATGGTAATTTAGTAGTCCAAGAGGACACACCTAAATCCTTGGAAGTCAAATCCATTCAATTATCAGCACCATGCAATTGTGACCCAGAGCTTCAAGTCATGCTCACCTTTGCTTGTTTACCTTCCATAACGGCCACACAGGAATTGGTAGTACCCAAATCAATACCAACAACTGCTCCCTTGATTGCTTCTGATCTGTAAAACATTTAAAACAATGCTATAGTTATCATTTTAACAGTGATCTCCAAAATGGTTACAGGAATAGTACATAAGAAAATATTGGGTACTGTGAGAATAGTGGCACATTACATAATCTGAAAATATAGATGTGTCATTTTTTCTGAACAGAATCATTAATCACAAAGTTAGAGACCACTGCTCTGGGGTTTAGAATTTCTCTCTCAAAGGAAATAAAGTTACACTTACGCATAGTCCCGCTTTGAAACAATTCTAAAAGTCTCATGACTAAGGCCATTCCAGCCATCCTAAAAAAGAAAAAAGTTACATCAGCCATTATTACATATGAAAACTTGAACTTGTTCCAATTATTCTTCTGAAAGTCTTGAACTCTCATTCCACTTAACTGAGTGGCTATCATGTATAAAATATACTGAAATGATGAAGCGTTTCATGTATAAGAGGCATCGCGGTACTGAAACAGCAAGTTTAATAAAGCCCTACATATAGGTGTGTATTGCAGGTATAAGTTTATTTAGAAACATTCACCCTGATCCTGCGAAGCAACTGCTTTAAAGAGATAGGATTAGAAATCTTGTGGAGTCAACTCAGAAAAACAATTTTTTTCCCAGGGGTAGCCTCCAACCAGGATCAAAGAAAAGACCTTTGTTACGACCTAATTTTAGGCCACTTCCAAGCCTTTCTTTAACCCCAGTAAGACAATTCCAGTTCTTCAAAGATGTAGGCTTTTGTTCGTACGTGGTAACAAGCACCAGGGCTTTCCCACAATTTGCTTACTTTTTTTGAAATAACAGAGGACAACCTTAACCCCAAAATGTGGGGGAACTAACTACATAAGCATTCCTAAGTAAAAGAACGGGAACTCGATTCTGGATTTATTAAGGTGTGTCCTTGCACACATGTATCTTACAGAAGAGAAGAGCAGTCGTCTCCGACTCGTTGGTGAGAATACAAACCCGAAGAGCGGTTCCCTCCTAACTAGAATTGCATGCCTCGCCCCAAGTTCAGACCTGTTTAATCAGCCACAACACGGGTCGTCAGGACCACTACCTACTACTTCGTGAAATAAGACTCCGCGCTGGCAAGGGGTGTGACTCAGCAGGGCTCGAGACACGGAGATAAAACCTGAAATGGGCCTTGAATCGGCAGCCCTGATTGCGGAAAACCCGTTACCTTTCTTCCCACCTGATCTCTCCCAGAGGATTCTGACCCCGAAGGGCGCGTGGCCTGCAGCTCCAAGGCCCAAGACCATGAGCCGTGAGCCCCTCGGGGAAGGCCTGGAAGTTTCTTACCTGGTGGCGGGCGACCGTGGGGCCCCGGGAGACTGCAGCGCCGACGAGACGGGATGCCGCGGCTCGGCTGGCGCTTATCATGGCGGCTAAACGGTGAGAGTACGAGGCAACAGTCACTCGGACAGCCGGGAGCTGCGCTGCGCTCAGTGGGAACGCTTCTGGAAACCTCCAACCACGTGGGGTGGGGAGGGCGGGGGTTGGTCGCTGGAGCCCGGAGGCCCGCTCTTCCGCTGAGGCGCTGCCTGCACTGCCTGACCAGAGACTACCTGACCGCCGCTGCCGGAGGAAGCGCGTACGGCCAATACGTTCCGCAGCATGATGGTTGAAAAAGTGCGTCCTTCAGTTCTGGCCGTGGCAGGTACGGGCTCAATGAGAGGCGAGGGGGTTAAGAGAAATATAAAGGCAACCACCTTAGACAGCCCTGGTCCTCGGAGGCAGCTAAGACTCAAGGTCACACGGGATAAACTGCGAAACGATTACAGGCTCCTTGCGTCAGTTGCGTGAGAGGCGGGGCCTCTTGCGCTTGCGCAGCTGGCGCCCGGCTGAACGCCTGGAGCGCATGTGCCCAGGGAGTGGCGGAAAACAGGGGTGGGGTCTAACTACAGCTCTCATTGGATGTCCCACCGAACGTAGCCGGAGGCGAGCTCGGGCGTGTGCACGCTCCCTGCGCGTGGACGTTATCCCTGCTCCCGCTCCGAGCGGAGGGCGCCATCTTGTCCTGGGTGTTTGTCCTGTGTAAATCTCAGGCTCGGAACCTTCGTTGCTCGTCCCCGTCCTTTACTCGTTTTCTGGCTGCCTGTTGGTATATATATATATATTTTAACCTTTATTTTTATTGTTGACACTATTACACATGTCCCCAACTCCACCCAGCCTCTGCTCCTCCTCCCCTCTGGCCATCACGTCACTGTTGTCTGTGTCTGTGGGCTATGCATATATGTTCTTTGGCTAATTTCTTCAGCTTTAATCGAGTCCCCGGGTCTGTCGGTACCGCAGTAACTGGAAATGCGCATACACACCCTGGGCTGGCCCTCACTGAGGGTGCTCGGGGCCTTCTCAAACCTTACGCTGGTTGCTAGGGACAGAGACTGGGTTCTGTAACAAAATGGCAGTGGCCACCGCGCTGTGACCAGTTTCAGATTTTTGAGAAAAAGAATTAATTCATTGATTCAACAAATATGTACTGATGTAACAGACACTAAGTATACAGTGGAAACAAAATGTGAATTCACTATCACAGCTTGAGCTTACTTTTGCAAAGGAAGCAATTTATCCTTCAAGCTTTAAAGTCCTATTTCTAAAGAGAAAGATACTCCACTGTTACGTGATCACTGTGAGGAATTGTAAAGGAAATGTCGGGGGAAGTTGGGGGAGAACATAACTGGAATGTGCATTGTGAGGGGAATGGAAGTAAGAAACAAAAAAAAACCCCACATTGGTTATAGGTGATAGAGATTCTTTTTCATTTACTTAGTATTTATTTATTTATGAGAACATTTATTGGACAAATTACAGAGGAGAAAAAGTAATTCCTAGCCCTAGCCGGTTTGTCTCAGTGGACAGAGGATTGGCTTGGGGACTAACAGGTCCAGGGTTCGATTCTGGTCAAGGGCACGGTCAAGGGCACTGTTAGGTCCCTGGAGGAAGATGGAGGCCAGAGTGGTGCAGGATTACAAATGACCCGCACACCAGGCGGCTGAGCCTGGATGGCTCCAGCACCCAGTGATGGAGTCAGTGGCTTTCTTCTGGGCGGAGGCTTCTTTATGCAGACCCGGAGGGGAGATAATGGAATGTGGTCTCAGCAAAGGGCGTGTCCATAGTGAAATGACCTGAAAAGCCAGTTGGGGGGGGGGGGGGGGGGGGGAGGTATCAATTCAATTGCTGCATCAAACCTAAGGAACATGCGCGGATTGCGGGCTCCATCCCCAGTAGGGGGTGTGCAGAAGGCAGCCAATCCATGATTCTCTCTCAGCATTGATGTTTCTATCTTCCTTTCCCTCCTCCTTCCTCTCTGAAATCAATAAAAATCTATTAAAAAAGAAAAAGTAATTACTAGAAAAAAGGGGCTTAGAAATGAGTTATGGAGGTAAAGGAACTTGGAGCTTGGGAGTGAGGAAGCTAATTGTAATAATAAAAAGATATTTTTTAAAATGTATTTTAAAAAAAGAATTGCCAAATTATGGAGGGATTGGATAGGGAGAAAAATATAATTTACCAAATTGCTTTATAAAACAGTCTTCTGGCGTCTGGAAAGAAGGAAAATCCTGGACTTTTTTTTTTCCATATATATATATATATATATATATATATATAAAATATATTTTATTGATTTTTTTACAGAGAGGAAGGGAGAGAGATAGAGAGCCAGAAACATCTATGAGCGAGAAACATCGATCAGCTGCCTCCCACTGGGGATGTGCCTGCAACCAAGATACATGCCTCCGACCGGAACCAAACCCAGGACCCCCCAATCCACAGGCCGACGCTCTATCCACTGAGCCAAACCGGTCACTTCATATATATTTTTATTGATTTCAGAGAAGAAGGGAGAGGGAGAGAGATAGAAACATCAATGATGAGAATCATGGATCAGCTGCCTCCTGCACGCCTCCTTCTGGGGACCAAGCACCCAACCGGGTGTGCCCTGACCAGGAATTGAACCGTGACTTCCTGGTTCATAGGTCAATGCTCAACCACTGAACCACGCTGGCTGGGTCCTGGTCCTTTTGATGAAGTGGAAAAGAACCAAATTCTAACTCTGTATTAGCTTACTTTTGATCTTTAAATTTATTTCCTTAAATTTATTATTTAGGGAAGTTCATGCTGGGCCTTCATTCTGAGGGGTTTTAAAGACTGGGCATTTTCAGGATGTCTTGGGCGAGGATCACAATAGAATAAATCAGCTTTATGCTGATATACCAAAATGAAGTTTATTCTCAACTTCATTGTCCTTGGGTGTGGTCAGCAAATGACACTAATTGGATTTCTGTTATCTGTCTCTCTGAGTAGGTTGATATTTACCCTCTGGTTGGGGAGGAAAAGTGTAAACCATTTACTCTTAAGTGTCCTTGGGAAGATGGGATTTATAGATGGCTGTATACTGCTGTTTAAATATCTGTCTCTTTCTCTATTCTGCTTGTCCTGGCTTACTAGACTGTGTCATTTAACATTTCTCTTACAAACCTTCCATAACTTTCACAAACCTGTCTTCAACCTTCACAAACCTTTTAACCCATTCAGAAACAACTAGCTTTAGAACAATTCACTTTTTCCTTCAAAATATGTTTCCATATTCCATTACCAAAACCATACAATTTCTTTCCAATTAATGTGAACTTTTAACTTGTAGAAATCTCAATTTCCAATAATAACCAAAAAGCAAGCAACCAGCATTCCTTAAATTGACTTTTATGAACATTTTAAACACTCTCAGTTTCAAGCCCAATACACCTTCAAAATACAAGATATTATACCAAGATTTCCAAATCAATTTTCTAGCTCTTTTGTATTAAGAGGCCCAAAGTAGGTAAACTTAAGACTTGTCTAGCAATTAATGTTTAACAGCTGAAATGAGTTAATTTGATCTGCTCACATGGCTAAGGTATTTTTCCTTTCAATAAGGGTTACCTCCCAGAAACTTGCATTTTAAAAGATGGCCTAGATAAGAGTTTTAGACCAGTTACTTGCATTTCAAAGCTCCTGGGACTTTGGTTTCATAAAGTCAATTATCTATAAGTATTTTGAGCTGAACTGAGGAGGTTTATGGGAAAGTAAAAGGATTTGGTGGCTTGAATTGTTTCTGGAGCCATATCTCTGACCCTGTAAAGATTTTATTTATAAAACAAGGACAGTCATTTTTTAAAAAAATGTTGTTATTATTTTTTAAATCCTCATCCAAGGATATTTTTTCCATTGATTTTTAGGGAGAGTGGAAGAGAGAGGAAAGACAGAAAGAAACATCGATGTGAGAGAAATGCATCGATTGGTTGCTTCCTGCCCGAGCCCCGTCCAGGGCCCGGACCAGGGAGGAGCCTGCAACCAAGTACATGCCCTTGACTGGAATTGAACCTGGGACCCTTTGGTCCGCAGGCCAATGCTCTATCCACTGAGTCAAATCCGCTAGGGCAGGACAGTCATTTTCAATACCTCAAGGATTGGCAAATGTTGACAAAGGACTGACAAATTCATTCATCCATTTTTAAAATGTTTCCATTTGAGTATATTTTTCTTTCAAGCTCTGTAGCAATTACAGAGAGATCTAGTTTACAGGTAGTATATAGCTGAGGGTCATTTCTTAGAGTCCTAATAGCTTGCATGTATGAAAAATACACATTTGATTTTAAAAGGCCTCATCCTCCATTCACTTCCCTTGGGAACGGCAAAAGAGGTCTAGCTACAGTATAGTATTACTCTTAATGGTGCCATTAACTGGCCAGATCTCTCTATTGTCCACTTTATAGTGGGGTCAGGCTATGTTGTAAAAGGAACTTGAGGGACTTAAGTCAAATTTCACCCAAAAGGGTAAATTGAGGGACTGTGGACTGGTTCCACATCTATGGAGAGACAGATCAATTCCCAGCTGAGAGAGGTATCCCAGCTATCCCCTGGGCTGTCCTGGGCCATTCTCCTGTGGTCTGACAATGTACCACAGTAGCACAGGTCCCTTTTCACCCTCAGAGGGTAGATTTAGACTTTGCTGTACAGACTTCAAAGTTGCAGGCTAATGACCCCTGTTTGTAGAGATTAATATTCTAAAAAAATATGTATTGATGCAAAAGAACATAGAGAGGAATGACAAAGACATAATATTAAACATTGAAGCAAAATCCTTATGTTGTACATGACGGAGGGAGGAGGGCGAGTGGAATAATTGGAGTACCTACATTTTCATCTCAAATGGTTCCTTCTCCTCTCAAATGGCTCTCTTAAGAGTTTCCTTTTTTTCTTCTTGTTGCATACATTTAAAAGCCACAAAATATCCATCAAAGGAATCCTGGAATCAAACAATGTTAGCTAAAGGGTGTCTGAGACCGTTTTCCTGGTGGTTTCTTCAAGAGCCTGGCAAATTCTCTCCATGACCACAAGGGGGATGTGGTAGCTCTAGATATTAAAAACAAGAGTCTGTGGGGATTGGGACTTGGGGATAGGGGGGAGAGAAAGGGTCAATAGGAGAAAAAAAGGGAACATATGCAATACTTTCAACAATAAAGATTTAAAGAAAGAAAGAAAAGCAGGAGCCTGAAAATGTATTGTCTTTGCCAGTTTTGGAGAGCAGCCTTATAGACTGCTTTGCAAATTGATTTGGCCTATAGCTCAAAGGCTTGAAGAAATGAGCCTGAGTCTAAAAATAAATAGGGT